TTAACCGCATTCTGTTTCAACAACTTTTGTGATGTGTCCACTGTAGTCATTTCGCAGCACTACTTTCCTTCAGAGTCCTACTGAAGTCAAACTTTGAGACTTTTACCATTAAACCCATTACATTGTCAGTAAGGTTACTTGTGCACTGTCTTTTTATACTGCTTGTATAAATTTATAAATGGGTTAGGAGTTGTAGCACCTCTAGTTTTTTCCACTTTTCTGGCATGTTATTGCTATCCTTTTCGAGGAGTTACTGTGTTCTCATCACATGTTATTTACTTTGAAGTTTACCGGACTGATAAAATAATCACTGTCCAGCTCTCTATTATCTCGTATTTATGATAAATAGCTCAAATTCTTGAGATTATCTTTTTATTCATCAACTCTGGAATACTATTGAATAACTTGTCTCTCTTAATTCATATATCTTTCATTTACCTGCGTTTCGAAATCTCAGATATTTTTCCATTTAAACTTCATTTTGATCCCAATAAGTATGATTTTATCGACGTCAGTTTGCAGTGTTTTGTGAATAATTTAGGTCATATGTATAAACAGTGAAATCTGAACCACCTGCGTCAGTTCAATTTTTATAAAAAGGATTAATGCTATGCAGTACACTTTCCTATAAGCTAGACTGAATTCCTGAAGTAAGGGTTGGCGTGGGAGTGGAGTTTCAATCTGCAGCCCACTATTTAAGAGCCATGTTTAAAACATTGATGCAAAATATTCACGACAGAGATTTCAATAACCATTTGTAATAATTACCACTCACATAAGCCTCATCATGCCATAGTTTGAAAAGACTGCCTATAGTTGATAAGCTGTATCCTCACCTGAAGCTGTGGCTCATTCACCCGTGGAAGTAAATCTTCAACCGATTCAGCCATGGGTTCGAATCCCCATCCATCTGTCGAGGTTTGAGCATTTAGGTAGCTTCACTTACACTTGCTTCAATAAGGGTGGTTCGTTGCCAACTGCATGGAAATTCAGGTAGTTGTTGAGTCCTATGTGTCATTCGTATCACGCTTAAGTTTTCGCGTAGGCTTCATTCGACTATAGAGGAGAGGGGTGCTGACCTTCATATGAAATTAGTGTTAATATTTCTTAGCACTTTGCATATTTTCAAGTCTTAATAATCATTCTGGGAATTTATCTTACTGTTTTGTGGTTTATTTGAGTAAAATCTCACTACTTGTTGGGTTATTATTTACACATACCACTTAAAGTTAGAAAGAATTTTAAGTGCTTTAATCACAGTGTCCTGAGGATGTTGGACATTCTCTACAGTAATGTTGATCACTTTTTGTTGAATACCTTTGTGAATTTTATGGTATTTGGTGGTAAATATTTTGACAAACTTTTCCATTGCTTGAATTATTTTCTAACTTTGTAAACATATTTTTGTAGTTAGTGATTAGGGCTTTTCATCAGTAACAATTGTTTTTACTTGAGATTTAAGTTCAGACCTCAAACCCCAAAAAACAGCACTGTGTAACTCTGAAGAGTTTCATTATGAAACAACAAGCACTTCAACTCAGTAATTATAAAAAGTGAAGTATTTGTATTAAGAGGCATGCTGTGGTTGTAGGTTACCGGCTTGTGGTTGACAAAACACTAAGACCCAGTAGTGGACAGATGATTTCATACAAAACAATGTCTATTTGGTGCATATTGATGGTTAATCTTCGCAAACATTTCAAACGCTGCATTACTTTTTTCTGTCTTTCTCTATTTTTGTGCTACAGTCTAACCACTTGTAGTGTCAGTCATTGTTTTGACATCTGTGACACTGTATGGTTTGCCGACGTTTTGGTAGAGTTGTCCTGAGTTTCATTGAGAGAGACCTTTTTTTGAGAGATATTAGATCTGTGAAACATTTCAGTAGGAGGTTGTGAGTTATCTACCTGCAGACCCAATTCTAGGTACATAATTCCGGCGTTCAAATCCCCGCCAACCTAGTTCCGTTTGGACAAACAGCTAACATTCTGAACCCACACATATGTATTGTACGATTCTCAGCCTAGTGTTATAAGAATGTATGCGTCAATGTACTGCGTTGTGTTAGTTCTTTTTTAAGCAGCGTAGTTTAAAAATGAGTGCTTCGTTTGTAGAAACATCGATGTTCTAGTCTGTGACTTTCGTTACGTAACTACTTTGATTTCCACCGCTTTAATAGGAAGTGTAGTATACCTAATATGCCTGAGTTGCGTCGACTTGTGTGGACTAACTTCTAGGCCCCTTCAGTAATAGTTCACTTTAAATATATACTTTTTTATTCTTTTACGTTCCCCAGTGGAACATAGGGCTTCAAGCTAGAGGCTTGGAAGTTTCGGTAGCAGTGGTGTTTATTTTTACGGGATGGGATTGCTATCCCCATGCCCAGCCTTCCCTCTTTGCCAGTCTTATTACTGGCTTAACGAGGTCCAGGAGTGCGTCAGTGACCGGGAATAGAACCCTGAACCACATTCGTGGTTGGTGAGCACTCTACCGCTGTGCCTCCGACGCACTTTATATGTATATATATATATATCTCCGAAATAATAATTAAGTACAATCTGGAATATGTTAGAACTTACGTCGTATTTTACTTTCTATATTATAGTATTATTATTCATAGTGGCTATATGGCTGATATCGACCTAATCATTCGATTCTCAGCCGATGGGTCTTGCATTCGAATCCTGCATCACCTCTTTCAGCCTAGTTGTTATCATCAGTCGCCACATATCAAGTATGGCTGATGACATGGTACGTGAGATATCTCTTCCGCGTAAAGCAGCAGCAGCAGATGATGATGATGATGTAGCATAGCTGTTGTACCACAAGGCTTCAAAATGCCAACATGCTGTCAGTGAAAAGGTTGCTAGTACTCCTTATCGATCGTTGTTAACAAGAAGTGTGCTCAGAAAAAGAAAATGAAGGTTTTATTTTATGCAATACTCACACTTTATTCCATCAGAAAATTATTGGTAGTCATCCTTTCTCTTCTTGGATAATAGGATTTCGTGTTGATTCGTGATTTAAAAATGCGTACTGAGTCCTATATGGAGTATTTACCTTTGTTATTCCACCGTAAGAATACCATTTTCTCACGTAGAATTCTGTGTATGCCGAGAAATTTTACGATTACCTGAATCTCGATTTATGTTTAAAACCCGAGTTTACATTTAATAGTTTGAGAAAATTTTTTAATGTTTGGGTATATGATATTCTTCGTTGTTATAAAGCGGTTTCGTATTTCCCAAATGAATGAAAAATTAGAACGATATTGTTTTTTTTTTATTGAAGTTTCCCCATTTAATACTGCTATAACAGCTTTATCAAAGCAAGAACAACAGTTCGTGCAGAATTAGGCGTTCAATAGCGATTGCTTCAGCAAACTTTAGGAGAACGGAACCATTTTGCGTATTGATAATTTTAAAGGATTTTGCACCCTTCCCTCCAAAAATAGTGACAAAATCAATACGAATATGATAAGAAATTTTAGTGTGTAAATACACGCTGTTCTTATAATTTCACACATTTATCTCAAATCCAACAGTCTGCACACGGTTTGTTATCTTAATCAGTTCCTGGCGTAGACGTGATATATGACTGGCTGTCGACCAAATGGTGTGTGTACTCCTCAGCACTCCGCTCCGTTTTCCTTTATGGCTGTGAGTGAGACATGGCCATTGAGAGTGGAAGACATGAAAGAGCCTGGATAGCTGTCTTTGATCATAGGTGCCTGCGTTCCATCTCCCGTGTCAGGTGGTGGTATAATAGGGTGAGCAATATTGAGGTTAGGCATCGGTCGAATGCTAGGTAAGGAGGGAGGGTAAATCGATAAACGAGTCCATGAAGCAGCTGCATGTATTGAGATGGTTAGGACATGTGTTACTCATGCATGTCTAGCCATCGCCTTCGTCGACCGACAGTCAATGTTAGCTGACATAGGATGGGTCAGGTTGGAAAAGAGCCAGTGGTAGTCAAATCAAAACCAATATGGCTTCATCAGTCTATGAAATCTTTGACAGTTAGTTTAAACTAGTCACGTAGGAAGGTGTAGACTGCTGTCTGGTTGGGGTCCTTGGGAGGGTGAAAACCAATGACTGGAAACAATCGGTGATATATCTCAAAATCGTTCTTAGTGATTACGCAGATGCATCCACTCCTTGTGACTTATAATTTACATTGAAACTATATTTTTCTTCGTTATTACTATTCCTTTGTCTCATATCCCTGCCTGCTGTCTCTATTATGCATTTCTTGTACTTTCTTCTCTTACTTTGTGTGCTACACGGAGGGAGTGTGGCGACTTAAACTGCTGCATATCGGTGCAAAGTTCTATGGCGAAAACAGACAGACATATTAATCAGTTTACATTCAATTGACAACTTGAAAGTTATCTCTGGTTTAATATTACTTTGATGAATGATGACGATGTTTTTAAACTCCTTTGCTTTTTACATGGAAAATAAGTCTTCAAGATTGACCTCTGGGGTTTCGGTAATAGTGATGTTCATATTTTACGGGGTGGAATTGCTAGCCTCATGCTCAACCCCTTTTCTCTCTTTGCCAGGGTACACTATCGGCTAAGCGAGGTCTAGGAGTCCGTCAGCTGGGAATCGAACTCCCGAGGCGAGTATTCCATCACTGAAACACCGAGGCTTAAAAAAACCCAGAGAGTACTGGATAGCAGTTCCACCATCCTGGTGCTTGGAACTCTTCAACAGCACTATGCATCCAAGACCTTCAGGTTACAAACCGAGTTCGTACACCATTCAGTTACTGGTACACTAGTGAAGGTATTGGCAGCCCTAAATAGCCAAGCATCAGTAGAAACACTAATATCGTTTTGTTTTTCCATTCATTAGGAAATACAAAGGTTTTTATATTAGAGAATGTTTATTTCCCAATTTAGTTTTATCTGATATTGTGAAACATGATTTGCCTTTGTGTCCTGCCCCCAACCCCCCTCCTTAATCTCTGTTTTTTCTTCTTTTTGCATTTTACAGTCGTGTTGATACAGGTCTGCTAAAAAGAGCAGTAGGCTCATTATTCTATATCTTTTCTACAGCAATACAACAAGAACCACCATCTATCAGTTTATTAAAGCGTCTTATGTCATCAATGATCCCGATCTATCGTACTGCATTATCATGTGCTGTTAAAATTGGTATCATTGATTCTGGTGTAGCAATTGGCAGTGGAATTGGAATCACTGCCAATTCAACAGCTGATATCGCCTTGGAAACATTTCGTAGTTTAGCTGGACTTAAAGATGAACTTGTCCGATTAATGTTACCAATGGAAGTATCAGGAACATCAATTTTTGGTCAATATCATTCTTCAGTCGTGCATAATGATGTTATACGAATTCAAGCAATTAGACTAATTGAAGTTAGTTCATGCTTCTTTTAATTCTTGTTTCTTTTATTTTGCTATTTGTTGTGGCTGTCATCAAAGTGTTAGTTGCATGAATTATTATTATTCCCTTGAGTTTTGAGTGGAATTGACTATCCGATTGACTGAATGGTTTCGACATAGAACTTTGTACAGGAGTGTAGCACTTCAACTTATGACACTCGATATCCCACACCAAAGGAAGACAAAAGAGGGAAATAGAAAAGATTCAAAGGAACAATAATAATCAGGCATATGAGAGGGAAAGAATAGTAACGTGAAAAAAACACATGAGGGTTTATTGGATATTGGAGATCACAGAGAATGAATACTACAGGACTGGACTACATTGACTCCTAGCTTAGAAATAGGCAGGAGTGAAGTGGTTGGTGGGGCGTGTTGACCACTTCACTTACTTGGGAAGTTGCATCAGCCAGTTCCAACGAGATGATCGCTGACGAAATCTCTGCACTGATACAGAAGACTCGTTTCACATATGCCAGTTTATTCCGTCTCTGGCGTAGACGTGATATCCGGCTGGCTATCAACCAAAGGACAGGTGTACTGCTCAACAGTCCACTCGGTCCTCCTTTATGGGTATGAACGAGACATGGCCATTGAGAGGGGAAGGCTAACCGTCTCTGATCATAGGTGCCTGCGTTCTATCTCCCGTGTCAGGTGGTGGTATAATAGGGTGAGCAATATTGAGGTTAGGCATCGGTCGAATGCTAGGTAAGGAGGGAGGGGAGATCAATAGATGGGGCTGTGAAGCAGCTGCATGTATTGAGATGGTTAGGATATGTGTTACACATGCATGCCTAGCCATCGCCTTCGTCGACCGACAGTCAATGTTAGCTGACTGACAGGATGTATCAGGTTGGAAAAGAGCCAGTGGTGGTCAAACCCGAACACAGCTTCGTCACTCAATAAAATCCACCACAGTTAGTTTAAAGGCACGTAGGAAGGTGTAGACTTCTTGGCTGTTTGGAGTCGTCGGCACGGTAGAAACCAATAGCGACTGGAGATAATTGGGGATATGGCTCAAAATCTTTCTCAATGACTGGTGAAGATGCATCCACTCCTTGTGACTAATAATATCCAATAACACTATTGATATAAGCATAAAACTTGGACACTGTGGTAGAGTAAAACTTCATTATGGATAAGATTTTATTTTGATAAATCACACAGTGTTGTATAGTAATATTAACTGATGACCACACGCTTCGAGCACAATTTATTGCCACTCATAATCATATCAAGTCACTCACACAAACAAACACAAGGTGTAGCAATGGGATGGATCATCACTATCCCCCATCTAACAGATATCTTTATAGACAGCTGGGAAAATATTGCTCTTAATACATTTAATCCTACTCCAAAAAATGCAGTGGAGGAGATATATGTATGACACATTCACAGTGTTAAAAATAAAGCATATATCTAGCTTCTTCACACACACATAAACTCACTAGTGAGGGGAATACAATTTACATTCGAATCGGAAAACGAACAAGGAGAATTAGCTATGAAGTTAGATTGTAAAATCAAACGAACAGAATAAGGTAAACTACACACTAGTGTTTATAAAAAGCCAACGCATTCTGCTCATGGATATTTCGACTTTAATTCATCTCATCTACTGTTATCTGTAAAGGTAGGCTTAGCTAAGTGCCTAACAAACTGAGCAGTAGTACTAAGCAGTATGACAAAAAACGTAAATAATGAAATGAAACAGATAGAAGAGGCGTTGGTGTTAAATAACTAACTATCCTGTCAAATTCATTTGAAAGATCACTAAAGACCAAAAACAAAATAAAAAGAATTGTGAAACTAGTAGTGATAACATAAATGAGAAAGAATATAAGACATCTACAGTTGTATCATATAAAGAGGGGACATCTGAGACTTTCTCTACGTAGGATTCTTAATAAAGCAGGAAATACGGTGGCGTTCAAACCTACAAGCTCTGTAGCCTAAAGAACCCTGTTGGTTTGACCAATTAAACAAAATAATATAATTTACAAAATACCCTGCAATGACTGTGACTTAAGTCAACTACACAGGTCAGTCAAACTAGTAGATCAGGCAGGAATAGTGAGATTATCAGAACATAAGAATTTAGCTAAGGCTAGAATGATTGATCCCACCCGCGAAAATAATGAATTTAGAAAACAGCTCAGCAGTAGCACTGCATGCATTAAGACAAATTTCAAGAAGTAATATGAGTAGATGGAGAGAGAGACACATTAATTAGTGAATCCTGCCTGGATCATCGAGTCTACACACCCAACGCATGCGATAGAAGTGACTCAATGCAAATGCCAGAGATCTAGAAGAGATTATTACCACCAGTCAGTCAAATCAGAGGAAGATAATAAATAATAATAATAATTAATAAATAATAATAAATAATAACGTCATCAGTAAACATTACTGTATAACACTGTTAGACTTAATCAAAACAAAATTTACCCATAATGGAATTACACTCTACCACAGTGCACAAGTTTTATTCTTATATCGAGGATAATAAATAATGTTAAAATGTATTCAATTCACATTTCACACATTTATTTATATTACTATAAAAACATCGTATTTCCCATCTTATTGACTAACAACACTCGTCTTATTTCCCAGCCCATCGTATTCTATTGATAACATTAATATTATTTCCGAGTGTACTTTATCTTATATTGATTTTATTCAAATGTTTAATCAACTTTACTCATGTATATAAATGAAGCAAGAAAGTTGTGTAAGTGTTGCCTTGATATGATTATGAGTGGCAATAATTTGTGCTCCAAGCGTGTGGTCATTAGTTAATATTTGTTACTGTATAACAAGCACACTGTGACTTTATTCATAACGGAGTTATCCAAGAAGACTATATTGTTCTCCCATATGACTATTCTTTTTGCCTCATGTTTCTGTTTATTATCTCTGTTTTGAATCTCTCTTTACTCTCTTCTCTTGCTTTGTATGCTAAGTGAAGTGTGTAAACTTGAACTGCTGCACATAGGTGCAAAGGTCTACGTTGAAACCAGTCAGTCAGTCAATCAGTCTTCGCCAGTCATTGAGAACAATGATTTTGAGCCATATCATCAATTGTCTCCAGCCTTCATTAGTTCTTACCACCATCCCGAGGATCCCAACCAACCAGAAAGCTAGTCTACATCTCCCTACGTGGTTGGCTGGCTGGCTGGTTTAAACTACCTGTTATCGATTTCACTGACTGACGAAGCCATACGTTGGTTTAACCACCACTAGTAGCTCTTTTACAACCTGATACATCCTATGTCAGTCAGCTTACATTTAACGTCGAGGGAGGTGATAGCTTGTCATATGTAACACATATCCTAACCATCGATTGATTTTCTCTCCTTACCTAACACTCAGCTGAAGTATAACCTCAATATTACTCACTCTATTACGCCTGTCACCTAATGCAGGGGACAGAACGGAGACACCACTTATGGTCAAATATTTGAGGGTAACGTAGAGCAGGGCTTGAGTAACAGAATGTATAGATCTTGGAAAGAGACGTAAAATTATGGGTTTATAAGACAATTAAAACATTACGTGACACATAATGGAAAGTGTTGAATAGGACAGAGTTTAACACCGCCAAAAATGTGTTTATTTAAAAAATAGTAAATGGGATAGTTTGAAATAATGCCAGAAACTGTTCAAGATGGAAACAAAAGTGATAACAGGATATTCGTCATGAGCTGACATTAGTTAGAGAACCATTGGAAAATCTGGGAGTACTGGACAGCTGTTTCGTCCTAGTTTGGGACTCTTCATCGGTACGCACCCACCGGGATTCGAACCCAAACTAGGACGAAATAGTTGTCCAGTACTCCCAGGTTTTCTAATGGTTCTCTAACTAATGTCAGCTCATGATGAATATCCTGTAACCAATCAAATCCCTACAAACCAACACTTGAAAAGTGATAACAGTTGTAGTAATAAGGGAAACGTACATAGACTAAATAAACAAATGTTTATCTCTCTACGTTTAAGGTGTTAACAAGGACCGTACGTGCTTCTTTGTACACGAAGGCCTGGCTTGAGTTCATGAATGGTCAAGGCATCCTCTGTCTTTAGAAGCTTACAACAAGGAAAATGTGGCAAGTTAGCATGAATTGGATAGACGATCTTAAAACCATATTCGTGGTTGGTAGTCGCACACTCTTTCCCGTTGTGAAGACATACTAGAGTGTGTTCTCTTATCCGTGTAGAAAGCATTGTCTAGCCACGATCTATTTACCCTGCTCCACAAGAGCAGGTGAACTGGTAGATGCACATAAAGGCAATCAGACGAGGTAGCTTTGCACACACTTCCTTTCTCCCTTGTAAAACCATTCAGGAATATGTTCTCGTATCCGTGTGGAAAGCGTCCTCCGGCTACTACCAATGTACCTTGCTCTACAGGAGCAGGTGAACTTTGATAGATGTACATGGAGGTGGTCGAACGATGGAGCTTATCTTTGACAGAGACAAAGTACAACTTACGACTGGTGAATGTCATTTGTAATTTTCCAGTAAAGAACGTCTTACTGAGTGATTTAGACCGACGATATTTCAGCATATCTGAAGCTTGATCACCTTTGAATTCCAAATCCATGAGTATGGTTTTCTTTGGAATTGAGTCAGTGACCTGTTTGAATTGCTTAATTTTCGTGTTTTGTCAATAAATCGGTTCGGGTAACCGTTTTCTGCGGGTGTGCCTTTTCGGAAGTCATCTTCTGAGTCAACACAATCGGAACTACAAATATTTCTTGTCTTAAAGCAGAACTAGTGGACTAAATTCCTTTTCCTGGAGATAGGCACCCAACTATAAAAATCAGTTAGTTGTCCATTCAATGTACGTTTCCCGTGGATAAATGTTTTGCAGAGATTCGTCATTTCGTCTACTAAGGCACACATCAAGAAAATGGTATGCTTTTCTATGTTGAATTACAAAGAGGCATGGCAGTTGTTGAATGCAAACAAGATATCATCAACAGTTACGTTCTTATCGCAGATAACGAAAGTGTCGTCTACGTAGCTTCTATAAATGTCAAAGTGACTGGTGGTCCAAATAAGTTGAGTGTTTTCAAGCCTTCCCATAAAACAATCAGCGATCAGTTAGTTGACCCAATGGTGATCCCATTGCAATGTCATCTCTCTGTCTAAAAATCTCATTATTAAAACTGAACTGAACGTTGGACATCCGTCTTAATAAGAGTTCGTTCAGGTGGATTGTTGGCAACCCTATGTCTTTAAACTGTGTACAGCAATATTAATCACATTCAGCATTATAGTTTTAGTATTCACACCTTTGTTTAAATTTCCTCACGAGACTTAATTTGTTAATAAAGTCATTGAAAAGACTATTTTCGCTGAATACTGTGTTCTTAATAGTCCATTAGTTATAGTAATTAAAAAAATATGCGTAATATTCTAATTGTTGTTATTCCTTTTTCAGAGTGTAATTATTTTACACTCTCGTCGACTACCCAACTCTGAAATCCCACGTGCCAATGAAGGTGACATATCCTTAGATCAGATACCAGCGCTTACAAATACCCAATTACAGTCTATCTTAGAGGCGAGTACAGCCGCATCATCAGCTACTCTTCTTCCCGGTGTCTGTTTAGTTAGACCTCATCGATTAGCAGAGGAAGCTGAACGTTTATTTGCAGGTTTATCAAGTTGGCCGGTGCGTGGAAAGCCTAGTGTTACTGCAGGATCAGTTACTTGCCCAGTAGTTGAAGCAGTAATGGATTCATTAGTGAATATTGCAAAACAAAGACCACAATTTATGGATCGTGTTGTACAAGCATTTGAAACAGTTCATGGTAAGTATTTATTCTTCTGTATTAATTATTTACTATTATTGTATCTTTGGGTTCTGAGTAGAACATAGGACTCCAACAGTACATCTCCATTTCGTCCCGTTCTCTGTAGTCCTCTTCAACTGATCACACGACTACTCATAAGCTTTCATCTACTTGCATGATGATCTCCTGTGTGTCATCTATGGACAGCCAAGTCGTCGTTTCCCATTTGGGCTCCACTCGAACAATGACCTGGCAAGCGATGACATTGGACGGTCTCCTCAGCGTGTTTCCCTGCGTCCATCTCCACTTTCTTCTACACATTTGTTGGATAGTAGGTTCCTGATTGGTTTGTTCCCAGAATTTCTGGTTGCCAATTCTTTCTGACCTGCCATCTGATCTTCAGTAAAGAGCCAGGGAAGGTGGCAGCTGTTGATGAAAGCCTGCGACAGCTTGTCGTGACGCTCCAAGTTTCTGATGATCTATATAGAAGAACTGACTGACTGACTTAACGTTGCTGTTGAAAATCCTATTTCCAAACTGGTTTCAGATCGATGCAGACGTATTTTGTCTTTCCGATTCTGGCTAAGCTTTGACATGAACTGACATCGGTTAGGACAAATACTCGCCACGGATGACATTCGCTAGTGGTCGCGCCATATCATGAATTAGCAGAAGTTGGAATTCGTGTGGTGGCCATTGGATCGGATGCCAGTGGTTTAATGGTCTACAAGCTCGCCTTGTAACCAGTGGGTGCGTAATGCTGAAGAGTCCCAAACTAGGGTGAAACAACTGTCCAGTACTCATAGGTTTCCCCCAATGGTCCTCTAACCGATGTCATATCATGATGAAATCCTGAAGCCAATCAAATCCCTGCAAACCAACACTTGAATACGGTAGTAATCGTTAAGATGCGCATATACCTAACTCATAAAATAATGAATGTTAAAGTGTAGCAACAGAAGACAAGCGCCAGGCAACAGATCGTTTATTAAGGAAATTAAAGCATATTTATATATTTTCATGTACATTATTATAGTTTAATTAAGTAAACAACACAGTCTTCTGATTGGTTGTTTCTCACTTAGAGTTAATCT